ATGCTGGACGACGAGATGACCGTCAGCCTGTCCCTGCCCAGTGAGTCCAGCATGTTCCACAACAACCACTCCTCACCGCCCAGTGAGCAGGGCTCCAGCTCCACCTACGACCGCATCTTCCCGCTGCGGCCCGACTACCAGGAGCCCTCCAGGCTGATCCGCAAGCTCCCAGAGTTCGCTCCCGGGGAGGAGGCGCCCGGTGAGGCTGAAAGAGCAGCAGGGAGCTGGGGGCAGCCTGGCCGAGGGTGGGACAGGGCCCCACCTCAGAGGTGGAAGCGAGTGAACAGAAGGGCTCACTGAGGCGTCTGGGCCGGGAGCCTCCTCAGGTGGCCGAGGGAGAGTGCCCGGAAGGGCCTTCCCCACACCAGCGTCTGGGGGTGCGCTCAGGACCGGGGCCCCTGGAGGAGGAGCAATGGAGGCTGCGGGGCCCAGGGCCTCGGCTTCCCCACCCAGACCTGTTTCCCGTGGTGAGCTTTATCGCTCACACAGGTTTCCTGACGAGCGTATTTCCCCGCTCTTCTCAGTAAGACTCCGCTTGGAAAAGCAGTGCCAGCGGGTCGCATCCAGCGTTTTCAGAAGTGGCCGTGGAGCGACATCAGAGGGCTGCTGGGCCCGGCAGGGGCGGGGCAGTGCTCGGGAGGGAAGAGAGGAAGCTGTGGCCTGAGACTCAGGAGGTGCTGCGCGAGGGGCAGGGCCTGGAGTGCAGACAGGCGGCAGGAAGAGGGTGGGAATGAAGCGAGTTCCCAGGCTGGGCAACGTAGCTGGTTTCTGAACCTAACACCCCTCGTATTTCAATGCTTTCTTTCAAGTTAAGGAGTGTCTTAAACCAGATCCTGTAAGTTTAACCAGAAAGCGTTTCACGACCTAAACTAGGTCATTAAGCCTGGGGTGGTGCCTCACAATGAAGGAAGATGCTGTAAGAGAGAGCCCCCCACCCCCAACCTCCGCCTCACAGGCCATGGCCGCGGGGATAGCGTCCCCAAGGTCACCCAAGGACACGCTCACGGTCCTGTGGTCTGAGAAAGGAGAGGCGCGATGGTGGCCGCTCCAAAGCCACGAGGAAGCCTCTGGGAGCCCAGCGTGGGGGGGGGGGAGACAGGGCTGGGGACCTACCTGCCCCATCCCCCGTCTCTCACGGGGCCACCCCGGGAGCCTCAGAGCCCGGAGCAAGCCCTCCACCGTGTCTTCCAGGCTGCAGCGGCCTCGCCAAGCCAGGCCCGCCCAACGGCCCCGAGGGCGCGCCCCACTACGCAGAGGCAGACATCGTGAACCTGCAGGGCGTGACAGGGGGCAACACCTACTCCGTGCCCGCCCTCACCATGGACCTGCTCTCGGGGAAGGACGTGGCCGTGGAGGAGTTCCCCCGGAAGCTGCTCGCCTTCAAGGAGAAGCTGGGGGAAGGCCAGTTCGGGGAGGTGAGTGGCTCTGAGAGGGGCATCCAGGTGACGCCTGGTTAACGGGTGGGGGGCTGGTTTCAGGTGCGGCGTGCTTCCCCTGGGGGGTTGGTGCTGCAGGAGTCTGAGGCCCTGTTCCTGCTCTCCATCCTCACGCTGCCCCGAGTGAAAGGTGCAGGCTCGTTGTGCTGTTACGGGACCCGCACTTGCAAAGCCAGCCCTGTGCTAAGGGGTCGTCTTAGAGGGGACACGGCCTGGAGTTTGATCCACAAAGGTTCAAGCGTGTAGCGGCTCGCACGGGTGGTGAGCCCTCCGTGGTGGATGCCGTGCTGCGGATTCGTTCACTCACACACCGTGTTCCGGGCCGTGGACACGACCTGTATGAAGCAACATGCGTCGTATTGTTTTTATAAGTATTTGGGCAGGAGATGTGTCCGTGCATCCATGCGCCCGGTTGTTGGACGTGCGTGGTGAGCGGCCGTCCCGCCCCCGGAGGCGCTATGGAGGCTGAGCCGCCTCGGGAGTGCTGGCGCTGACACGCATGCCTTCCGTCCAGGTCCATCTCTGCGAAGTGGAGGGGATGGAAAGGTTCAAAGGCAAAGACTTGGCCGTGGATGCCGGCGCCAGCCAGCCGGTCCTGGTGGCCGTGAAGATGCTCCGGGCAGACGCCAACAAGAACGCCAGGTCTGTGGCTGCCTCTTGAGTTTCCTGTATGTGTTTCCTCCTCAGGTCAGGTCAGGGACACCCCGGGACACTTCTGAGCAATCTTTTCTTTGGAGAGGGTAGGTCTGTGAGCCACTTCACGTTTCCATGGTTACGCGTTATCTTCTACCAGGCCAGCATCCTCAACTTTGTTCTCCATCTCCCTCCCAGAAAGGCACATTTCCCACTGGACTCGTGCCTGTTCACTCCCTGACCATCCGCACGGCCTGACCGTCCCACGGATGGCCGTCCGAGTGGGCGCTCCTCAGCCATTGTCCACAGAGGCTCCCGAGTGTCCTTACTGCCGGTCACCGCGCTCCTGCTCAGCCTTCTCCGTCCTTTTTTCCATCTCCGTTTACTTTCTCACTTTCCCCTCTTTTGTGCTCCTTTTCTTCTATGTCCAGCAACCCCCACAGTGAGAAGCTACCTCCACTTGGAAAAGGACCATGACCTCAAAGCGGAAGGATCCACAGCCCTTTAGCAGTTTCCCCAACGGGGACCCCCCCTCCATAGATGGCAGTCTCAGAGTGAGAGACAGTTTCTTATCCCCCCTCAACACCGTGAACTCCAAACAGGGCGAAAGGGCACAGGAAAGGCCTTGCAAACAGCAGGATGGGGGATGAAGAAGAAAAGCCGGGGAGGAGAACTGGGAGGGGCCGGGACTGTCACTGAGAACTCCAGTGTGAGGGACACGAGCACGAATGACAGATGACACCTTGGTCTCATCCAGTGATGGCACCCTCCCCCTGCGTCCACGCCCACTGAGCAGTGGTGGGCGGCCGGGCTCTGGCCCCTGTAGAGCCATGGGGACCCCTGTTTGGGGTTGTTGTACTTGACACGGGGTGTCCATTGATAGAATTTTCCTAGAAAACTCCTAGGAGACTTACCCGATCTGCTCCAGTCATTTGGGGAATGTGGGCTGGTGGTCTCCCCGACCCCAATATCGCTGTGGGAAAGGGCATAGCCACTTTATGACTCGGGCGGCTGCCACCAAATACACGAACAGTTACTAGTCGTGGCCCGGTGAGCACTTGTTTTGAAATGACCGCATACTGCTGCCCACATCAACTGTAAGAAACCGTGTTGATGTTGGGACCGGCGCTGGGCGTGCCTGCATCCAGGAAAGCCAGCAGGAGAAAATGCAGAATTGCCAGGTGGAGCCAGGGCTTCTGCTTTATTCATAGAGGAGCCCCAGGGCTTGTCCTAGGGGTAAACTGTGTGCTCGTCAGGCGCGATTTCGGTGGAGAGTTTAACTTCACGAGCGGTCTGGGCCGGCGTATCTGATGCAGCCGGGCACCTCTCCGCGGGCAGGCCCGTGGCTGGGTGCAGGCTTGCCGCCGTGACTCCCAGTTCTCGCTCTCAGGCCGCAGTGCGGCCGGGGCTGGCCCCAGGCTGTGAGAGTGAGGCAGCCCGGCCGTCCTCTGTCCTCCCCAAGGTCGTCTGGGAGCCAGGCTCGTGCGGGGGGACGGGCGCTGGGCCACCTTTGCCTCCTGACTGGCTCTGGCCTCTCTGGGCTTATCCGCATGTCTCTCCAAAGGAATGATTTCCTGAAGGAGATAAAGATCATGTCCCGGCTGAAGGACGCCAACATCATCCGCCTCTTGGCCGTGTGCATCGCCGACGACCCTCTGTGCATGATCACCGAGTACATGGAGAATGGGGACCTCAACCAGTTCCTCTCCCGCCACGAGCCGCCCAGCCCCAGCCCCAGCCAGGTGCCCACTGTCAGGTACAGCCGCGTCCCTCCCCTGTCTGCCTTCCTGACACTAACCTGGTCTGCAGACGGGGAGCAGTGAACCCCTCAGCTCGCTGTGTCCGGCCGGCGGGGTTGGCGTGTGGGGAGTAGCCACGCAGGGAAGAGCAGAGAGCCACGTGGGGGTCGGCGTTTGCTGGAACCGGGCAGACTGTGCACTTGTGATGGCTCCTTCTGCCCACAGGCAACTTTCTCTCTTGTTTTTCCTCAGTTATGCCAACCTAAAGTTCATGGCGACTCAGATCGCCTCCGGCATGAAGTACCTTTCCTCCTTGAATTTTGTCCACCGAGACCTGGCCACGCGGAACTGCCTGGTGGGCAAGAACTACACCATCAAGATCGCCGACTTCGGGATGAGCCGGAACTTGTACAGCGGGGACTACTACCGCATCCAGGGCCGCGCGGTGCTGCCGATCCGCTGGATGTCCTGGGAGAGCATCCTGCTGGTGGGCGCCGTGGCCCAGGGGGTGGGGGTGGGCAGTCAGGGCCCGGGGGTGGGCGCCGCGGCCTGGGGGTGAGCGGTCGTGGCCAGGAACTCCCAGGCCACCGAGGCAGCCGCAGGCTTGGTGTCTGCTCAGATGGGATGACCTGCTTTGAGTGCTAATTGTAACTTTTTGGCACTTGCCTATTTCTGCTGGAAATGTGACATGCTCACTGTAGAAAGCTTGGGGAAAAGGGTTAAAAATACACCCATGGTGATAAGGGATTTAGTATTTTTCCCCTCTCTCCTTTCCACCTACTGAGTGGTCTTCATTAGTTTAGGGAATTAAAAAATCATTTAAAGAAATGTTATCCACACAAAATAGTTCTCTTCCGAATCAATTCCATAACCATATTTCTAATTCATTATTTACACTGATCTCTATATTTTTATTTTAATGATTATCACTGTTTACTTTTTATTTTAAGTTCATCATTCTCTGTTTTATAATTTTTATTCAACTCTTGGTCTTCTGGACCATGGGTGGGTAAGAGAGACTTTTTTTCCCAAATGTCATTTCTTCTGACCATCGGCCCTGAGCCCGGGTCCAGGGGAAGCAGCCCTGAGTGAGGCACAGGTGTCGGGGATTGCCCGGTCTTCTCAGCGCCTCCGCCGGCCATTTCAGAGCCCCGGGGGCAGGGGGAGGGGGGGCGGCGGTCACTCAGGTTCTGAGACCCCAGCCCCTCCCGCAGGCAGGTGATTTTTATTTTCTCTCCTGCCCCGATCTAAACAGGGCAAGTTCACCACAGCCAGTGACGTGTGGGCCTTCGGGGTGACCCTGTGGGAGGCCTTCACCTTCTGCCAGGAGCAGCCCTACTCCCAGCTGTCCGATGAGCAGGTCATCGAGAACACCGGGGAGTTCTTCCGGGACCAAGGGAGGCAGGTGAGGCTGGGCTGGGAAGCGGGGCTGGTGCTCTCTCGGGGGAGAGAGGGGGCTGGCTTAGCAGGACAGGGTGGCTGGAGGACGGGCCACCGGATGAAGTCCTTTGTCACGAATCATCCAGATAACGTGAAAGACCAGCTCTTGCCCAGGCACCATGCACACACTCTGCTTCTGTGTCCCCCCAGGATCCTCGGGGGGCAGAGGGGGCAGGTCAGGCTCCTCGCCAGCCCAGACATTCCAGATCTTACAATAGCTAAGATCTGGGCTGTTTCCAGATCTTAGCTATTGTAAACTGTGCTGCTATGAACATAGGGCTGCATATGACCTTTGTGATTGGTGTTTTTGTTTTTTTAGGATATATTCCTAGAAGTGGGATCACTGGGTCAAATGGTAGTTTTTTACTCATTTTAAAATATTCAGTGTAAAAAGTCCACCATTTCCTACTAGTAGTGAACCAATATATTCTGATCAACTACCCAGTGGTTGAGTAGGGAAGTCAAATATTTGACGAAAGCCCAGGCCAAAGCCATATATCACCACGCTGTTCTGAGTGAGCTCCTTGCCTCTTAGCACAACTTTCAATAAAAATTTATTAAATTTGCTCTGGCCAGTGTGGCTCAGTTGCTTGGGTGTTGTCCTGTGCACTGAAGGTCGCCAGTTCGATTCCAGGTCAGGGCACATGCCCAGGTTTCAGGTTCAATCCCTAGAAGGGGGCGTGCTGGAGGCAGCCAGTAGACGTTTCTCTCTCTCCCTCTCCCTTCCACTTTCTCTCTAAAATCAATAAACTAAAAAGAAAAAAAGTATTTAACACATTAGCCTACTAAATGTAATTTATTAAATTTCCATTTTATTATTTTATATTACTACATTTTATTATGCAAATCCTAGAGGCCTGATGCACAAAATTCATGAAAGAGTAGGCCTTCCTTCCCTCTGGCAGCTGGGACCTGGGCTTCCCTCGCAGCCCCGGCTTCGTCCGAAGGTCTTCTGGAAGGACGTCTGGTCTAATTAGCATATTATGCTTTTATTATTATAGATGAGATGAATTTACAATTCATATTTTACTGCCTTCTGTCGTAAGGGTAGAATTTTGGTGTGTGAACTGTGGAAGTCTGGGTTGGCGCTCATGCGGCCGTCTCCCATTGTCCCTGCCAGGGGTCGCCCAGCCTGCGTGTGGTCTCTGTGCCTTTCCGATGGCACCGCTACCATCACCCTTCCCGAACAGAGTGGATCTCATTCAGGAGCACTTCGGCGACATGAATTCTAGCAGGAATTTCATACGCAGGGCCCGTCGCTTAGGCAAACCTTACATCCTTTGCATGCAATTGAAAGTGCGTAGAAGCCTATAGAGCAATCATTTCAATACTGAGAATAAATGTCTTAACATTTTTGTTTTCAATTTGTCTTAACCAATGGTGAAGGATTTCCAGAGGGCACTTTCCTTGGAGGCTCGTGGTCTAAGTGGACCCTGGGTTCTAACCACTTGGTCTCCAGTCTGAGATGTCATTTGCCGCCGCCTGGCCTTTGGGCTGGTGGTAGGGACCCCAGAGCAGAAAGTCCTGCCGAAGGGACAGGGATGGGAGACAAGGGGGCGGGGCGCCAGGCTGCGGGCCCCTCGGGACGCAGTGACCACCTCCAAGACGGTGGAGGAGGGCAAGTCAGTGACGATGCAGCAGCTCCCCCTCCCCTCTTTCCTGAATGTTCTCTTTTTTTGTTTCCAAAGACCTACCTCCCGCAGCCCGCCATCTGCCCCGACTCCGTGTACAAGCTGATGCTGAGCTGCTGGCGGAGGGACACAAAGCACCGGCCCTCGTTCCAGGAGATACACCTGCTGCTGCTCCAGCAGGGCGACGAGTG